CATGTAAAGTCTTGTCTTTATAAAAGACAAAGAACCATAGATCAATCAATGTTGAATCCTACAAAGTTGAGTGATGGGACTGTCAAAGAACCATAGACATTTACCTTAACTGTAGATAATTGTTCTACAAATGATTCCATGATTGCGATAGTGTTAGATAAGATTTGCTCCAGTTCACTTATGTTAGATGGACGTTTATTCCACATGCGGTGTTGTGCTCATATTCTGAATTTGGTAGTGAGAGATGGCTTAGAGGTGATTAAAAAGAGTATTGAGAAAATTAGGTACAGTGTTGCATTTTGGCTAGGAACCCAAAAAAGAGAGGAGAAATTTCTTGAAGCGGCCAGGCAGTTGAGAGTTCCAACCTCTAAAATGTTAGAACTTGATTGTAAGACTAGATGGAACTCTACATATTCCATGCTTAAGACTGCAATTATATACAAAAATGTTTTTCCTCGTTTGAAGCATCGTGAGCTGTTGTACAAAGAAGTGCCTAGTGAAAGTGATTGGGCAAAGACAAATGAGCTTGTTGATAAGTTGGCCATGTTTTATGATGTAACTGTTCTTTTTTCAGGGACCAAGTATCCTACTGCCAATCTTTACTTTAAGAATATTTGTGCTATTAGATTAGCAATTTATGATTGGCTTAGTTTTGAACAAGAAGAGGTGCAAGCAATGGCATTACATATGCAAACAAAGTTTGAGAAGTATTGGGATACAATGCATGGTTTGATGGGAGTTGCAAGTATTTTGGATCCAAGGTATAAGATGAAACAAATTGAATTTTTATGCCCTCTAATATGTCCAAACAATGCAGCTCAAGAGATTAAGAAATATAAAGATATTCTCTATGACTTGGTAAAGGAGTATCAGTCAAAATCTCAACAAAGTCAGCAGGTGCAATATGAATCTTTGATTCCTACTTCTTCATCTAGGCCATCTATGCCTAAACTTGATTTGGTAAAGCAATTGGATGTGTTTGTTTCTCACTCCACTACCCATGGACATGTCAAATCTGAGTTGGATCATTATCTAGAAGAGTCTCTTTTACCTAGGAATGATGATGATGATTTTGATATATTATGTTGGTGGAAATCAAATGGGATAAAATATCCTACTTTGCATGATATTGCTAGAGATATTTTGGCCATTCCTGTATCCACAGTTGCTTCAGAGTCTTGCTTTAGTACTAGTGGAAGGATTATAAGCCCTCATCGTAGTCGGCTTCATTCAAAAACAGTAGAGGCATTGATGTGCGCTTGTGATTGGTTATGGAGTGAGATAAGAGGTATTGAAATATTTTTGTGGTTATATTTTTCATATTAAGTAAAACGTTTTATTACTGTTTTCTGATATATTTTTTTTATACTATTAGCTTCAAGCTCTAATGAGAATGAAGCTAGAAGAGTCACCATTCAAGATGAGGAAGTTGATAATAATGAGGAAGAGGTAACATTCTTATATTTAATAGCTCTCTTTATTTTTTTAAATGAATTTTTCTTATATTGGCCAGTATCTCACTTTCTTTTAAATAATTGTAATGTCTTTATCTTATTAATTTTTTTTTTTTATAGGAGTCTACCATTGAAACAAAGAACATCTCTTTGTTTTTTGATTAAAGCTATGAATGATGAAGCATAGGAGAGTTCATTGAAATTGTGAAGTTTTAGTTGATGACTGAATATTGTTAATATTTCTTTAGGATTGGTTTTTTTAATTTAAGACTAGATGGATTTGTTGTGCTTACTGGAAAAGTTTCTAAAGATTTGAATTGAGAAATTGTTTGAAGTTTTGTGTCCTCCTTCTTTGCCTTGTTGAGAAATTATTTTAACAAGAAATATCTTGTGGTGGCTATTTTTAAAATTTCACAATGATGTGACTGTGATTTAGAAAATTATTTTAAAAAGAAATATCTTATTAAAAACCGGGGATTGGGGCGGGTATGGGAGGCACTTCCCCGACGGGGACGGGGACGGGGATTCCCCGAAAAGCCTAAACCGGGGATTGGGGCGGGGGCGG